CATCCTTCCAAGGTGGGTGAAATGAGGACCCAGACTGTGGGGGCGATATGCTGACTCTGTAAACCACTTAGAGAGGGCTGAAAGCCCTATGAAGCTATATATAAGTCTAACTGCTATTGCTATTGCTATAAACAGTCACCAGACTTAACTACAAAGCAGTTTCCTATCCAGAAGACTGGAGACTAGAATAAGTATTAATAATGGGCCAGATGAAAGAAAAGGGATAAAAGCTATTAATTCTGAATTATTTTTCTTAACATTAGAAATTGGGCCACCATTTACGCAAGGATTTGGATGCTGTCTTTGCGAAGGAGTCTGTCTGTCCCGTGTCACCAGGAGTTAAAACCTCACTCTGCTTTAAGAAGGAGCAGCCTCTCTTACATGAGAATGACTGCATTCGGACAATAGAGGGCTCCAACACAGCAGACAATCGATACATGGAGTACATGGAAGAGTTCTCCAAAACAGAGCCTAGTGTTGTCAGCCTGGAATATGGAGTGGCAAGAATGACCTGTTAAATGTCACACAAAGCAGTTCTGCTTTTCTGAAAAGATTGAAGTTCAGGACAGGGCATTGTGAGTCTGATCTCTTGGAATGTAACCAAAAACTAATGTGTGCAATGGAGAGCTTCATTAACGTAGACTAGAGTGCACATTAGTTTTGAAAATGTCATCCTTGTAAGAGGTAATTGAATTTAACAATGTTGAAAAAAGGATATGAAGACCTTAGGAAACCTTTTGTGGGGAATTGGGGAAATGAAAGCCGAACATCACAATAAATTATAGCTACACTAGCTTATTCCAAAGGTTCACCGGTTTTGGTCCCTATGGAGCCACAGTTAAAGTAAACCCATTGAAATTAGTGAGATTTAAACAAGCCAAGATTTCAGTGAATCAACTAACATATGACTATGTCTAATTCACCCAGTGTGATCATTGCCAAACAGTAAATGATATTTGAATGTTTCCTTTTAGGATACAGACAATTTACTGGGATCAATGAACATCTGTATATAAATGTAAAGTATGTGTGTGTTCCTGTTTAATCTATTGCCTGTTACAGTATTTTCAGTGATATCTACATCATTAATTAGTATCAAGGTAGTAAGAACAATATTCAAATATATGTGTTCTCATGTTTTGAGAGCAGCTCATTTAGAATATCTAAAATATGCTTAGTGACTTCTTTAAATTATTCTCTTTCAAAACAATACCATGAGGTTCACGCCAGTAATTTTGGAGTATTAATTTCTTGTAATCAGTTTTAACCCATTACAAAAGTAAGAAACCTTTTTTTTCTCTCTCTCTCTCTTTACTTTATGATAAAGTTCTAGTTAGAAAGAAAACGTTTTTTAAAAAAGAAATATTTCCTACCTGGTTAATAAGTTAAAATGGCAGCCCCAAGGCTGTGTACCTTCCATATACTTCTGTCCAACTAATGGAAGCACAGTTCAGTTGATAAAATGGGTAAACTAGGTGTGTCACATGTATTTCAGGATTGGAGTACCCATTTCCAAGAATAGGCTATATTTCACAGTGGTCATATTTTTAGGCTTCTTCCAATTATGTATAAAGTAACTTGAGCATCCAGTGAAATACAAAGTATAAGAACCGTCCCTTTTTGATTGGATACATTTGGGTTTACTCTAGGATTTTAATCTGTTTTGTAAATCTGCTTTAAAAGGTGCAGCTTAATTTGAAATAAAAAGCTTGTTTTTCAATCAGTAGGATTATCACATTAATGTATTAGGTGAATAAATGCGAATTACTAATCAAGTAGCCATTTTTGGGTAAAGGCTAAGAACAAACTAAACTTTGGTCTACAAGCTAAGATGACTGTAGAATCTCGGATGTTTTGAAAATGTGTTAATGTTGACATTTACTATCCAGGGCAGTATCCAAAGTCACAGGAAGCAGATCTCCAGTTAAGCAGAATGCTTAGATAAAAGGATACCCTGTGTATTTGTGTGAGTAAATCGGTGTGTTCCCAATATCTTTGTTTTTACTTCACCAGGAAAAATAATGGATTTGCTTTAGTGGGATCCTGTCTCTGTTTGCTTTCTCCCAATTTGTTTTTATTGTTCCAATGAAGAAAAGAAAATGAATATTGAAAGCTGATATGGTAAACATTCATGCCTTGGGGATATCAAACATCCCAGGTGGTATAATAGGTAATTTGTACCTGAGGGACCAAATGCTTATTACACACACAATGAAAATTAGTTTAGCTTTGCAGTAATCACTGAAAGCTGTGTGAACAATACTGCCATCAGGCTACATAAAACCTCACACAGTTGGCTGTCTCATTCTATCTTGGTTGAGATCCAGTCACACTAATAACAGGTGAGGAGAATCTTACCTGGAACACTTCAAGGGTCACATGAAGAAGGAATAAGTGGAAAAAATATGCTTTTTGATATTGATGACAGACCTATTTAACTACAAAAATTGATTAAAAGGGGAAAACGGAATCTCATTTACCTAAGATATGGTGCATTCTCATGTATTCTGTCTGTTTAGGCATTGTGCAGATTTTGTACAGCAGTAATTTTGAAAAATATTAGGACAGAGAAATTTGGACCTCTAATTGTTTTTCTCTATAGTTTTTTCCTATAAATTAATAATTGCTTGTTATAGGATATACTGAAAGTATAAGATCAAGCATTGTATTACAAATTATTTCTTGCAACTGTCTAATTAAAAAAATACTTATGTGTAGCTACATTAATCTTGCTGAACAGTTATAAAAGTGACTTCTTGAATGATCTTGAATAGTAGAAATGCAGGTCTTTGGGTATTTCATGTCTCATATAAAATTATCTGCCTATATTTGTTTTACATTCCACTTTTCCATCAGTAACTGAAGATATACATAGTGCTCCCTATTTCCCCCCACAACAACCCTGTGAAATAGGTTGAGTTGAGAGAAAGTTTCTGAACCAAAATCACCCTTTGATAGCTGAGGTGGGTCAGAATTACCTCAGCCTAAAATCTCAACATTACATCCTCCCTCCCTTGCTCCCCGTCCTACTGAGGATATAGGATGCAACATAAACCTTGTGAGGAATAAGACTAGCAAATGTAGTCCACAAAACAACGTATGCTAGGATACCTTAGAGTATGACAGGATATCCTCCACCTGAGTATTCTTAATGAATGTAAATGTGGAATGACTGATCTAGCAAAATGTGTAACTTATACATTAGATCCAGATGACTGGAACCTAGCTGTGTGACAGTTTTTTAAAAAAAGAGAATCAAAAAATTACAGGCTACTCAGCTTCATGTTTGCCAAATTATAGAAATGATTATTAAATAATGAATAAGTCTGCCCACAGCTTTACTGAGAGAAAATCAGTATAAATGGCAGTGATTACATAAATTATGTGCTTGGATTTTCAGGAGTCTAACAAGGTTCCTTACCTAAAACTGTGAAGAAGAGTTAGTGGCAGGCTGCGAATTAGCTAAAAAGGAGAAAGTGGAGAGTAGGGATAAATATTGTTCATGTATGTAAGAAGTGGAGTCGTTTGAGGATCTGTATTGAAACTAATGCTTTTTAACTTATTCATAAATGATCTTGACTTATACCAAGTAGTACTTATGTCAAATGTGGATAACTCTGTTTATGATGGTGGTGAATAAAAAAAATCTGTTTAAATTGGATGAGTGGTCAACCAAATTGCAAGTGTGGTTCAGTTTAAATGAGGGTAAAGTCTGCCCCTTTGGGGCCAAAGCATTCTTAACTTCACCATATGAATTGATATGATTGTTATAAGTACCAGAAAAAGATCTCAGAATTCTGAAGCTGGTATTTGAGGGTGGGGGCGGGGATTCTATTCTGGGGATCATTAAGAAAAGGGTTGAAAATAAAACTGCCAACATTGCAAAGCCCTTAAACAAATCTGCTGGGTGCATGTGCATTTGCCCACGTGTACATTAATAGCCATCATTAGGACAATTTGTCAGTATGTGGCATATGAGAAGGAGGGGGATTTTTAACTCACTCTTGCTGTGCTATTTTGTTGGACAATGCCCCTTTCATCGCAGAGCTACTCATGGGTCCCGATCGTTGCTAATGAACTGCTGCCTTCCATCCAATTTCCAGGTCAGGCATAAAAGGCTCTGCTAGTAAAAAAAAATTAGCTAGTTGCTGCCTCAACACATCTGGAAAATGTCAGATTTAAGAAGGTGTAACATAATTTTAAAAAACCACAACCTCAGGTGCTACTTGCAGCAACATATTTTATGTGAATTAGTCTTTCAAATGTGCTCAAGTAATTAGATATTTGGTTAACTTATGTATGTCTTAAGTTGATAGAGGTTTGGTAACTTGAATATTACTTTTCAGATTTAGATGCCGTTACTGCTTCATGGTAGGTATTCTGACAAGCTGTTTTTACTAAATTACTTCTCAATTAATATCTGTTTAATTAATAATTGCCAAGTTCACATTCCTCATATTTCCATCCTATTGTCGGAGGCATTGTCTGAGGCGCTTCTGGTTGAAAGGATTAGTTGGTGACATCACTGTTGCCCAGGGATGCTGCGTGCGGGGACTGCTTTCATGTCCTTCCATCAAGGAGCTGGAGCAAGTGATGGGAGCTCACTAGTGGTGGTTTCTGGATCCCGTTGCAACCAGTATGCTGCAATGGGGCCTGGCATCCACCATGTGAATGCACGCAACACAAGCACAGCGCACACATGCGTACTTATCAGCCGCGACGCTCCAGCTGCTTGATGGAGCGTCACACAGGCACCATACGCTCCGTGCGTGAAAACCCTGATTGGCTCAAATAGCGGTAAGGAGGGCGGGCAGGTAGGCCCTCGGGAGCACCGTAACCTGGTGCTCCCAGCAGGCACCGGTACACTTGTCCCGGGGTGTACTGGTTATATCCCACCACTGGAGCTCACCCCACCGTGAAGCAGGATTTGGGTCTCGACCGCAGGTTGCTAACCTCCACCCCCAGCATCCTACCCACATGAGCCACCGTGTTCCACATTCCTCATATTTTAAAACCTCAGGATACCTGTTGGATCAGGCCAAAAGTCTGAGAGGTATAGTAATCTGATCCACTGGGCCAAAGGCTTAAGAGGATCAAATGCTACATATGACCAGGTCACCTGTCTGTAAAAGTCAAATCATCAATCCCAAATCCCAGGATGGATAGTGTCCATGATAATATACCTTGAGGGATTTTCAATTGAAGAAGTGTGATAACAATATTTTAGTATTATTTTTAAATCATATCCAGTTACATTTGCAAAAAAAAAACCCAAAACCTGTAACTTTTCCAAGATTTCTTTCATGTGGTAATTTCCTTCAGCTGTTAAAATCCAGACCTTAAAACTTAACGTTTCTTAAAGCAGGATTTCGTGCTCTGCATTTCAGTAGGAAAAAATTGCTTAAATCTGTGTTCCTATATAGATGTAACTTCACAAATGTATCAAGGATTTTAGATTGCCATCCCTGTTTCTTGTTTACATAATTATAGATCTCCAAACACATTGCTATCATGAGAAAACGTAGCTGATGGGGTCTCTCGCATATACTCTAGATTTTTGTTCAAACAAGAGCAGGGGTGTCAAACTCTCGGCCCATGGGCTGGATGCATCACGCGCTGGCCACACGTGACCCCTGTTTTAGCAAAGGAAAAAGTTGTGATACGTCATGTGACAACAATGTGTCTTCACAAGTTTGACACCCCTGAACTAGAGTATATCCCTTACATATTGATCTAAGTAGAGATTTTTCTCTTTGTTGTGTACAGTACTATTCCAACTGACTCTTAATTTTATGTTGGAAATATGTTTTAAGTTGTACACCAATATTAGGTGAAGGATGTGTTTTCAGGATGCTATGCGGCATCAGAGCTAATCCTCAAGTGGAATTTAATCTGGCCAGATTCATGTCAGACTCGGACTGTGTCTTATTGAGATGCTTGATTTTTAAAAAATAATATCTCCCTATGAAAATCTCATGCAAATTTTATGTGATCCCTCAGGTGCGTATAGTCATTAAAGATGCTTATAATTGAGAATTGTGTGGTAGCCTGCTTTTTCTTTAATTGGAGCTTTAAATTCCCAACCATTCAGTTTTGTAGGACAGCTGCCAAATGGGCATATGAGGAAGTACAGCAGGGCTGTACCGAGAGTCTATGCATTTTCCTTCCATATCCAATTTCTAGTGACCTGAATCTAGGAGCGTGGCAATTTAAAAGCATTTCCTCACAAAGGGGAATACAGTCATCTCTACAACAGGGGCCTTGTCTCATCCCCTCCCCCTGTACTGTTTCAAATTAAAAGCCATTATCACTTTATGAGCTTCAGAAATAGGCTGAACCGGTTCAGTTATTTCAGAATATGTCAGAAAGTCCTCCCAAGAAATCTTCTTCTACATTTTCCACTGCTGCGTTGTTATTTTTTCTTCCCAAAGTCTCTTTCATTAGACCCTTAACAGTAAAGTAGTAATGGTTTATAAATTGATTACTCTGATGACTACATCATAGAAAATAAAAGTAAAATATACAATGGAGTTCCAGGGTAAAATACATAACATAAAATAAGAATAATGTGTGACTTCTGGAAAGCATCACCCTAAAATCTATAGCATTAACGCAAAATAATCCAATTTCCATTCATTCTTTGCCTAACAAAAACCCTCACAGTTGCTTTATCAAGAGAGAGAGCAAACACAGAGCCCAGATGGCCAAAATTAAGGTAACTTCTCCCTTTTTACATAGTCTCTGATAGGATTTTATGATTGTTGCCATTTATTTTCCTTCTCCACTACAACCATCATCACTGAATAAGCTGTGTTTCCTTTAATTACATTTCTCCTAACTTCCCACCATATTGTTAAATGGGGATTTGATTTTTCCAGTAATAAATAGGGTCCTTGAAATTACGGTTGGATGGTGGTCAGGAAAACTTGTTTATAAAATAATGCGTTCATTATTACCCCAGGAAAATCAATCTGACCATTTGGCCTTGTGTTCTTTTCAACTAATGATAGTTTCTCTGGGAAGTGTCTTGTTTATTGTAGTTTTTATACCATGGAACTTCAAAGTGACCCCTGGAATTTCATATCTAAAAAACATAAAATGTAAAAAAAAAAAGTAAGTAAAATTGAATAAAATCCACGCCTTCCTGTTCTAGCTTTTTAGAAGTTCTGTTTAGAAAGGAGATAAATCTTCCACTATGTGAGCTTCCTTTTCTCTTGTCTGTTTCCGTTTTATCTCCCCTGCTCAGTTTTCCCTAAACATAACTCAGATCAGTCCAATGACCACATAGGACACAAACTTATTTTTAAGGGTAAAGGATTTTGAACAAAGTTTATCCAATAAACACACATGTCCTGTATTTTAAACCTCTCAGTAACTGATTAAAACAATTACAGCCAAATAATACAATATAATAGCAGAGTTGGAAGGGACCTTGGAGGTCTTCTAGTCCAACCCCCTGCCTAGGCAGG